GTTCCAAGAATAATTTCATTAAATTTCTGCTACCCCTTTCCTCCTGTTGAATTGGATTTTCGTGCATTGTCACAAACTTGCTGGTCCCCATTTTTATGGGGGACTTAGTTTTAAGCATCATACTCTACAATGACAAACGTATTAATAATTTCATTTGTACAGCTGTGCAGCCCCTGTATACCCATGGGGTGTTTGGTTAAAACATTTTTACTTCATTCTTGGACCCCTGATAAGCATGCTTATGAATGAAATAGAGTAGCAACAATAAGCATCAGCTAAGATCACTTTGAATTAAATACTGAATATATTGATGCTTTTGGCTGCGTACTGGTTCAGTACTTGGTCTGGACCAGATTGGCTTTGTTTCGGGGTAAGGAGAGTAATTGGAGTAATAGGTGCATTACTTTTACAACATTTATGCTCATTTTCCTTTTAGTTATAAATAATGTCTAAAGTGCATCAGCTTGTGTGGTGGGTATTGGTGTGGAACAGGGCTGCTACCATAAATGTGGAATATGGCACTCATTTGAACAGCTTCCCAGTAGAGTTGCTGTTTGCCATTCATTTAAATTTCAGCTTTGTATAACTGCAATATGCTCTATGTAATTAATACTGAGATGGTTCCATTTCTTAGTCATGTCTTAGTAATAGCACAGGAGCGCATTTCCTTTGAAAGGGTGAACACCAGCTCTAGTTATCCAAAGTTGTAAGTGTGTGTGACAAGTCAAATGGAACTGACTCATCCGGCTGTAGGAGATCTATTTTGTAGTAAAGTATTGACTTGAACCAGAAATTGGCATTTCTTAACAATGCATTAAAAGAATTCCACTCCCAAATTTAATTTTTGTGTAAATTTGTGTTTGAAAGTCATTAACGCTATTTCATCGTACAGACTTCTTAGAACGTATCTTTGTCCCTTGGGTTTTAGGTGAGAAGTCTTAAATTCTGCTACTTTTCTGGTTTCTCTTGAGTCAGGTATATGATGTAACTGCAGTCTGAATACTTTTGGATTACTCATGAATTTAATAGTATATTTTCCCCTCCCCCTCTCTGTCCCTTCTCTCTCCCCCTCTGTTTTTCTCTTTCCTTGCATGCCACCTGGATCTGCAGATGAAATTAGTGGGGACGGTAATATGTTTTCTAGTCTGTGTGTTACTAACGTGCAATATGCAACACTCATATCCATATGCCACTTAATGCACATTTCAGTATTAAATTTTATACAACTTTTAGTATTAAAAAGCCGTCTGCTTGGGACATTAGCCAATAAATATTGTACTTTACAGTCTGTGCAACTAACATTTTCTGCTAAATTGGAATTGAAAAAGGAAAAACTATTTCAAACACACAGGGATGCGGTACTGCATGCCTTTGCAATGAGAGTTCTGGCATGATGTAAAGAAGGTTTATAGGTTTGCAAGAGTGTCCATTCAGTTTGATTGAAATGGTTGTGTCACAGAATTCTTTTAGTCAATGGGGTGGGATCAAGTGAGAAATGAGTCTGCTGAGTGATGCTTTAAAGGCATGGTAGCATCGAAGTGCTGTGTAGTCCACTACTGCTCCTTGCATAAAAAGAAGCTGTACAAGATAGGTTAATGTAGATTGAATACATGAAATATTCATCAGGTTTCAGCTACTAAACTGCTAATGTGAAAGACAGATTTTGAAGTTTTTCTTCAAAACTTTGATACTTGTTACAAAATATTTAACTTCTCCGGACTTTATAAGTCTTTCTTTTCTGGAAAATATTGACTTGCTCTCCTCTGAAAACAAGTTGGGGTTTGTTTGGGGGGGGTTAAAAGAGATTTTTAGCTATTTTTCTAGAGGATTCCACCTGGTGTTGGAAAAAAAAATCAAAACTGCTACTGCTGATAGTGTACGTATCTTTATTCCTATAAGTAGGAGGTATTAAAAAGGCATAAAAAGCAGAATGCAAAGGAAGGCGGTAAAAAGAAATAGAGATAACATCTTGTGGCCTTCCTCTCAGTAAAATGTAGAGAGGGTGTATAACTTCATCTCTTTTCTCTCCTTCAGATACAAATCAAAGATAATACTACCCAAATTTTCTTTTCTTAAACATCAAAAACTCAAAGGAATTTTTTTTTAGAAATTGTATTTCAGATACTAAACCTACATAGCTTTTCATTGGTGCTTATCTTCTCTTATAAATTATGAGCTCTGATAAATGGGAAAAAATAATGAAAAAGGAAATTTCAAACAGGTGGTTAAGGTCATGGATTAGCTGTTATGGATTTAATATCCTAGGATGTTTTTTTCTACTGTTTAATGAATGCATTCAGATTTAGTAAAGCTCAAATTGCCTTATTCACCTGTACCACCAACACTTTGTCCAAAAGCAACCTATTCATTTTTCCATCTAGAAGAATCTGGGGTTGAGCAACAAGTGAAAAGGTTCAGTGTGCGAGAGAGCAGCACTAATGAGCCCTATTTTAAAATCTTAGTTTTTCTAGACTTATCAAGGGCCTTGAAGATAGAACATCTCCTGGAATCGCAGCGTTGTTGTGAGTGTTGAGCTCTTGAGACTGCTAGAATGCATTCATCTTTGTAAAGCGGCCCAGAGTGCCTTGCCTAAGCTGAGTTTTGCTTTGGCCTCCACGCAGGTTCTGGAGTATCTCTTAGCAGACACAGTTCCAGTCTTAGCAGACTTGGTAACAGTCTCATAGCATATGACTCTCATTGTGGGGTGAAGATGCACGTGAGGGAGGTCAATTGTCTTTGTTGCAGAACACACTGAGCGCGTCAGTATTAACAGTTTGATTGAATTTTCCTCCAGTTTCCAGAAAGAATGCCAGACATGTATAGAGATTATTTTCTGAATTCTTATTATATATTCCTCTCCAGAGTGTTAAATGTGTAACAAGAAATACTTGTTTAGTTAACTGCATACAGTTCATTTCTGTGGATTGGCTACTGGAGACCCTTTTTGCTTCAGGGCCGTTTTGGGCAATGTATCAAAACCATGTGAAGTGCTCTGTGGTGTTCCAATAGTGTTTTTATTATGAATTAACTTCATTAATTTGAAATAGGAATATGAACAAGCCAAGCCATTTATCACATTTGTAAGCACTGTTCCATTATCTAGTGCGACAAATGTTTTGGTAGACAGTGTGGCACAAGTTTCCAAACTTTAAATTCTTCTCAAATATGTTTAGAATATCTTTCATTCAGTCCATTTTTTTACATAAAGAACTTTCTGGTATCCTCAAATAATAGCTTGTAATTGATATATACCCCACTTAACAAAAGTTAAGAACATCTTACCACAGTATTACAAGGAAGCAGAGTGATTTACCCCGATCACATTGGTGTCACACTAACGATTTCTTTCAAACAGATGCTTATTTTTTAGATCAAAATGGGGCTTATTTGTTACAAAACCATTATTTTATAATGTAGGGAGGAAAAACCATACCAAGGAAGAGATTAGTGCCTTTGGAGTATGCTGCCTGTTTAGAATTGTGCCCTGTCTTTATAATTAATTGAATTTTCATTAGGCAACTCTGTTTTGCTGTGTCCTAAATAAAAATTGTCTAGCAAAAATTTAAATGGCATAGAATTTCCAGATCCTGGTTTTACAAGACATGTTATATTCTTATACAGGAGTTTGCAATAAAAATAGCTTTAATTTTATTTAAGTAGTATGAAGTTAGGATCATAAAACTACATTTACTCACGGAAGTGTGTTGAACTTTAAAGGTTATAGGCGACATATAGTTTCTTAATTGTTGAGTGTTTAGTTTGTCTGAAAATTAAGCCGCTTTTTTATGTATGTGTATAATACTTGAGCCTTGCTCTGGTTTCAGAGTTGACTTAAATTGGTTGAACTGAGGGTTGCTGCCAAAGGGGACCATCCCATCCTTCTTTCCCCTCTCACTGTGGCTTTGTCCTGTTCGCCATTCTGAAACCATACCTCTAGAAACGATGCTAGGGAGATGTAGGGACATATGTGTGCTCCAGGGCAGATGGGGAAAAAGGGGGAGGAAATCATGCCTTTCAGAGGTGGCCCAGTATGTGATCACCTGAAACCAACCATGAAAACTGCAGACTGGGTTTGAAATTACTCAGTTTTGAGAACCTCTCTATGCATTTTAAGTTGGTGAGTAGAATTTAACAGCTGTGAAGTGGAACATTATCACTATTGTGGACTGGTTTTGTAACCCCTGGAGGAATTTATCTGACCATTAGAAAACGACCTACACACACTGGAAGTTCAGTACAGCAAGAGAAGGACCTTCTAATTTGACACCATTTAATCCATTTTGAGAACAGATGATGTAAAAGTCCTAAGTTTTAAACAGAGGAAGAAATACACTGTCATTTTTTCTGAAAATTTTGAGAACTGGTTGTTTTCAAACACTGTCCATGAGGTATTGATCCTTGACAGCAAAACTGGGGGTGAATTTCCACTAAACAAGGACAATTGAGACGAATGCAAGAAAAAAGGGGGTAAGGCGAGACTTAAAAGATCTTTGTGCTCTAGAAGACTCCATGGAAAATAGCTCACCTTGCCACACTGACAATAGGTAGATGCTGCCCTGTAACATCTTTACTGTCTGCTCTGGCTGTTTGAGATAAAAAACTAGCAAACTATTCACACTTTATTGACGATGAAGCAGTTTAATCCATTAATAATGTTTTCTGCTTACTGCAGAGGAATTTGCTGTTAAAAAGATTTTTTTTTTTTTTAATCAACAGTTAGGTGGATTTCAGTGACAGAACTTGAACTTTTTTCATTACAAATGAATCTTCCTTTTATTCCTTGTTGAATGCATCTATGTGACGTAGTATGATTGGCACTGAGGTCATTATCATACCATAAATTAAGCATGAGCAAGTTTTATTCATGCTATTGCAAATGCGTCCCAGCAATGTTGAAGCTGGGGGTTGTGACATATCAGCCTTGATAAATTGGAGATACTGTTCTGGAGAATTGGTTTTCATCTGCTTTTCCCGAACCTCTTCAATTCCTCCCTTTACAGAGACAGATGACTATGCAGAGATTATAGATGAAGAAGATACTTACACAATGCCATCAAGTAAGTATGGTGGTTAACTTGGGAACTTCTCTATCCAAAAGCTTCTGTGATTTAGTGGGGACTGAATCTTATATTTCAGCCTTAAGTAATATGTATGCAAAGAAAACATGCTTTATGATATTTTGAAAACTCATAGATTCAGTGTTTTTCAAGTTCAGGTTTTGAAGCAAATAAAACCAAATTCTATTTTGTTGCTCTCGGTGACTTCACAGCGAAATTCCTTTTATGTCTCAAAATTTAATTTTTTTTGATTGTAATGCCAAACGCAACCCTTAAAGAATGATAAGATTTCTGTGGTAGGAGCAAACAATTTGGAAAGCTTCTGTGTATTGCTGTCTAACTGTATTTCACCCTTGCTCTGTGACAGACTTGCTGCTCTCAAATTCCATGATAGAGGAAAGTCATCCGTACTACATGCAATTTTGTTAAAGATGAAAGACTTCAGGAACAAAAATAAAAATTCAAAGTTCTTCTGAGTCTTCATCTTTGAAGTAAAAACAATTACTCAGTAGGCACCACAAGGATTTGTCTTACGGTATATTTGAACTATAATATGATCTTAAGTGTCAAGGCTAACTAATTTAATGTGAAAGTCTAGTGTTCTGGTTTTAAAAGTTGTGTCTGCGGTATTACAGTTGCGTTTTGGCAACCAAGGATTTCTCTAGAAGCAGATAATCCATTGATACGCAGACCTGCAAAAATGTCGGGTTTGGTTAGCGTGAGAGAGGAGGGTGATACTAAACTGGTACCATGTTCTGCTGAAGAACCATGAATTTCTGGAATGTACCATGTAGCAGAAGTGTTTCATGATCACTGCAGTGTTTGCAACATAATTTCCACTACTGTGGAAAATAACTTGAAAAGCCAGAATATATGTTTCAAAAAGCATATATATTTGAATGTAAATATTTGAAAAGCAAGAATATATGTTTTCCAGAAATAAACAGTGTTTTGAATGTCTTGCAGTAAGTCACTATGTGATCCTACTAAAATAATTGCAGGATCAAAAAGTACTGTGATGATAAATTATATCCTTTATTTTTTGTTAACATATTAACTTTGTGTGACTATTTCCCCCCCCCTGCCCCCAATCTTTTCATTTAAATTCATGGAAGCAATTACTTGTGGGCCCAGCCCTGGATGATGCTGAACACTTAAGTATACCTTCAATTCAAATCCCGTGAGATGGGCTGTTGAAGTGAAATTCATTAAGTGCTTTGGTGGATTGAAGTGGACTCAAGTGTTCAGCTCTCAAAGGACTGAGTCAGTAAAGATCACAAGAACAGACCTGTGACTTCTGCTAATGCAAACTTAAAATTGCATCAGTATATTTCTTCATTTTTTAAGAAAATGTTAAAAAATGTTTGTCCTTGTCTTGATTTTAAGAAGCTATAATAAGTAAGCATTTGATTTTTCTCTTAATTGCACTGCAGAAAGCTATGGAATAGATGAAGGTAACAGGAGACCCTTTACCCATCCCCGTATGCTTGCAGTTTGGAATGATGTGGAATTTTTAAGTTTACTGTTCACTTTCATTTAATAAACATTATTTATTTATAGTTAAACCAGTTAGCTTTGGGATTTTAAAGAGGAAAATGCAGTACTTAAAAAAAAAAAAAAAAAAAAAAAAGAAAAAGACATTTATCACTCTGTTATCCAGCTCTAGGTCACAGTATTTCTGTAGTGTTAATGAAGTCAAAATCATCAGTCATGAAAGTCCTAAGCTGGTTGGTTATATTTTTTTTTTCTCTGAATAACACAAGTAGAGGTGAAAACATATACTGTACATGCTTTTCTGCTATTCCTGAAATATTTTTCCATGTCTGCTAGAAATGAAATTGCAAATGAAGTAATTCAATTGCAATTGATTAAATGTTTTGCTGAAGTACTGAGCCATTTTTGTCAGTAATATTCTTGGTCTATTAAACCACAAAGTTCACAAAATTGCATAAGTCCACAAAACATTCCAATTTTACTTCAATTACACACTGACAGAGGTGTATTGCACTCCAAATTTTGCTCTTAACGTGTTATCTTTATTTGCCATGCTCTTATTTTTGTATTTTTTTTCCTTGCAGTTACCTCTTTAAAAATTCTCTGGGCTCATTTGATGGTTCCAAGATCTAAAATACCACATAGTGGAGTTCTCTTAAACATCTAGAGGGATGTGTGCTAAGCCTGTATTTAATATCATTGGTATTGCCCTAGGCTATTTGTGTTCTTTGTCTTTTACTAGCTATAATTAAGAAGGATTCAATTATGTCTGTTGCATTGAAATAAATAATGCATAGTAGTTAATTTAGCGAATTGGATTTCACAATTCCTTTTTCATTGCTTTGGCTCAAACATTTGTTTAAGAGGTTTCCACTGTGTGTATACAGCATTTGTATAGGTTGGTGTGCAGCAAATGTTAATCTTAGTTATTCGTATGTGAGACATTTGAGTGACTTACTTCAAGTTTTGTATCTTGTGGATTATTTCTTTACCCTTTGTCAGAAATGTAATATTTTAAGTGCATTATATTCTTATAGCCAGAGATTATGAAATTCAAAGGGAAAGAATTGAATTGGGGCGCTGCATTGGTGAAGGGCAGTTTGGAGATGTACACCAAGGAGTTTACATGAGTCCGGTAAGCCTCACTGCTGAAATAAAACTAAACAAGCGATAAAGCCTTTCTAGTTAAAAATTAAATAAAAAACAAATGTATTCCTTAGATGCCTTAGTCTGAGTCTTCCAGAACAAATAAAAATTTACTTTGTGCTTTATTTTTGAAAATAGTCAGCTCATAGAGAATATTTCCCATGTTTCGGCTAAATAGAAAACTAGCTCCAGAATAGTTTCTCTGCTCCTATATCACTATTTGTAATAGGTTGGGAAAGGAATCAAAAGACCAAAGTAAATTGTTGAGGACTGTACCAAAGTCACTGGCCGAGTTGAAATTGGAAGTCATTGCTTTTAACCCCAACCATACATTCTCTTCTCCATTTTGAGTGTGTCCAAGTGTGGTAAGCACATGTCCCTCTGGCCGTACTCCTCTACTGAGCTGTCAGTGCTTTAGAACCTTTTCCAGAGTTTAAAACTGTATTTATGAGTGTTCAGCCTGGCTCAGGTTTAGGTTCAGCATTCAGTGCAGAAGCTGCCAACTGTGTCAGGATAAGCTGATCTAACTTCTGTGCTAAAATACAGAAAAGAAATTTTAGTCTGTTGTGCTGGAAGGGCAGCAGCCTACAACAGACAGACAATAATATTAAACAAATATGTCTGTTTCTCCAGTGACCATCTCACTATGTCTCTCACAAAGAAGCTTCTGTGTTAATAAAGCTACTACTTTTTCCTGAAAGAAGAGACACAAAATACTTGGACACTGATTCAGCAAAACCCCAATGTACAAGAGTCACCTCAGTGAAACAAGTGAGGTTGGCGGGATTTGTATAATTTAGGCTGGTGCTTATCTGTTTTTCTAGACTCCACAAAGATTAAGAATGCTGTTTAAATGGATGAAAAATTAACTTTGTGGAAAAAGGCAAGAGAAAGATGGAAAATTGTTTCATTTCAACCAATTTCAAGCTTAAAATAAATTAATTCATGTGGACAACAATCAAGTTGTAACTTCAGAAACAGTATTTCCCAGAAACAGCTGGTTAGCATCCCAGCTTGGTGGGTTAAATAAATAAATCTTTAATGCAGTAGTTAAGTAAATAAATAAGGGTAAATGTTACGTATTTCAGACAAGTTTGAAGTCTGCTCTGATACCTCCATTTAGAAAAGCAAATCTGATACACTTTGCCTTAAGGGAGATTCTTATTTTTCATTTAATCCTGTCCCAGGTAACAGGAGTACTTGAGGAGTAGTGTTTCACTGAACTTGGGGCACAGTGGATAAATCTAGTGCTCTGTAAAACCAATTAAAGACCCCTTTTCTTAAGGACTATTGTTTTGAAAATGCTGTCTCTCTCTTTTTCTTGAATTGGAGAACAGATTTTATTCAGTCATCCTGTCTCTAGTATGAGTTTTTTAAATGGCAACCTGCTGATTACTTTTATTAATAATATTTTACTGCATTTAACACACTTGAATATGTGAAGGGAAAACAGAAAGGTATTATTAAATTTTAATGTACTAGTCACAGAGCGCACCGTACACTTTTGGAGGAAGTCTTACAATAGATAAAAGGTCAGTTACAGTAACATGATAGTGTTTCCATCCTTGCAAATATTCAGCTTGCATTCAAAAATATAGGGGAGGTTTCTGGCCTCTTGTTTTGCTAGCTCAAATTTGAATCTGAAAAGTCACTTATCCCCCATTCATTTCACTTGTAAAGTTCAGTGACTGTGCAGCATCCACCTCTTCTCGCATGCTGCTTACTGCTAGCTGTTCCTGAAACGTCACAACCAGCCTGTATTTACAGGGTACTGAATGGAAAATGTGCATATACATGTAAGATCCTATTGCTCAGATGAAAGCAATTCAAATAAGACTGTCTTCAAAGGCTGATTTACTGTGGGATTAATCCAAAAGTGTCATTTGAAAAAGTGTTTGCTGCTCAGTACACAAACTGTTGCCAGTCTGATATATCCTCACTGTTTCGTCTCCTTATCTGAAAACAAAAGATCAGCAAAACCCTGATCTCAGGCCTTTTCCTATATTCATTTTGGAAAATGTCTGGAGTCTTCACTGGTTGCAGATGCTGAAACTCTTCCTTTGGATGTTAACGTTGGTCATGAGATGTTTCAACAAATTTATCTGTACCAGCAGGAGAGGGATTGGTCTGGCAGGCCTTCAGAGGCCTCATCCAGAGTTGATTATTGAATCTTGATTTCAGAAGGGAATGAAACCATCTTAATTTACCACCAGTTTTTCAGTCAGTTTATGGGCATGTTTATGTATGAGAAAAGGTTTTAATCAATATTTTCCTGCAGCATCAACTTGAAGAGCTATGTTGTGAGTAACTTAGAAAATAGACATTTAAGCCTGAAAAATACAAATATTATTCTAATTCTGATAATGTTTGTCTGTAAAAATAGATCTAAAGTAGAGCCAAGCATGAGCAGACATAGAACGTAACTGTGAATCTTCAGCTCTCACTGGCCTTAAAAACTAGGTGAGGATATACATCAACCCTGTAGCCTTTCAGAGAATTTTCATTTGTAATCTTCCCAGTAAACAATGCACAATTCCCAGTTTCCCAGTTGGAAGGAAGGCATACTAGTCCTTGACTAGGTAGAAGCTTAATTTTAAAACAGTTCAGCCACTTTCAACCCACCAGTTGGAAGGAAGGCATACTAGTCCTTGACCAGGCCTATACCTAAGGTAGAAGCTTAATTTTAAAACACTTCAGCCACTTTCAACCCGTTAAGAACTTGTATGAGTACATCTGAGCACTACCTTAAATATTTCCTAGGTGTGTTAGATATAAATGCTGTGCACTAGGTGTCTGGATTATTACAATATTTTAAAATTCAAGCTTTCAAAATGTAATTTCTTAACTAAAGGTATTCTAGTTAGTATTAATTTTCTCTTGAGTGGTTTTGTTAGAATTTAAAAGACCTGGCTTTTAGTGGGCTGTGTTTCAGTTATTTTTCAATAATGTCTTTCAGGAAAACCCAGCTATGGCTGTTGCAATCAAAACATGTAAAAACTGCACCTCAGACAGCGTTAGAGAAAAATTCTTACAAGAAGCCTGTGAGTATTAAAATTTCTTTTGGGGTAGCTTCTGTAACTGGTCCTTGCAAAGACTGCAGCCATCTGTGCCAGAGACTTCTGATACGAATGTATATCTTTTATTAACAGATAGCATGACCTTTTCCTCTCCCGCAGTACGTGCCAGGGCTGCTTTACATCTTGCATTGCCCATGTGTTTGATTATATGTGGGTTCTTTGATTTCCTAAATTGAACAGTGACATCTGACTCCTGTAAGGCTTCAGAACCAGTTTTGGAATATCAGAGATCTGATCCTCTATTTCCTTCTTTCTTCTTAATGAATTAAAAAACCACAGCACTTGTTCCAGGGTATTACTTTAGAAGGTCCGGTGGTTGTCTTTGTTAACAGAGTTGCTAAAAACGTTGTGTCGAAAAGATCTGGTTTGGAAATTCAGAATTAAAAATTCTGATAGAATAAACCCATTTTCTAAATAACTGCCCACAAATATTACATTCCCCAAGGGGTGTGTTTCATACATGGAGGGAGGCTTTTTGTTGAGATGAATACAAACAGAAAACTTCTGTAAGAGTGTTGTGGTTACTGATTTCTCTGCTGTTTGGTTTTGTAAGCAAATTAAGATATGAGACTTAGGCCTTAATTTTTGCCTATTGTCCTCTGCTATTGTATATCTATAAATCTCGTAGAGGTATTGTGTTATATCAATAAATTATTTGATTGTGACCAGATGTTACAGTATACTTTTATTCACTACTCCTTTGTTCAAGGATTTTTTCCGAATTGTTCAGAAAAATCTGTGTTCATAGCTAATGGCTTCTTATTTTTGGATGTCAGATTTTTCTTAAATTACTATAATTTTTTCCGTTACATTTCTAGCTGTTGTAAAAGTAAATACCATTGCTTATAGTAATAACTTCACAGTCAAAGGTAGGCTGCTGTCTCTTAACAATGTGGAATATAATTGCTTATTGAATGCTCCTTATTATGCTTTGAGCTTGACAGATTAGGAAATGCCAGCGTAGTAGACAGATAAATAGTGCTTTTCAATTTTGATTTAATAGTTTTGCCATTTCTTCTTTCTTTTTTTTAATTCTGATTCTCATCTGTTACCTTTCTCTTGATTGCGTTCAGATTGCAAACTCTCTCAGAAGATACTCCCCCCTAGTTTTTAAGAGCACTCCTCAAAAGGCCCAAGTCCAATATCTGAAGAGGCAGAGTTGATTATTTCAATAAATAAAAAAATCTATTTCCTACTATTAGGAATATTAAAATATTTTTGGATTTTAGTTGTTTGCTTGTGGTGAAGGTTTCATTGCTGAAAAGATTTAGTATTGATTCTTGCAAGGAGGAACACCTCAGAAAAAAAAGTAAATGAAAGAGAATGTTTTCATGAGCAGCACCTGTCTCTTCATTCCTGTCTGCTTTTGCCTAGCAGTGGGTTGCTATTTATGCATTTGTATATGCTAAAATACAAACCACCTGGTTTGGGGAGATTTTTACTGATCTTCCACTGGCTGTTTGGTAAATTGCTCCTTTCTGCAGGTAGGTCATTCCTTTTGCCTCTAGAAGCTGGATGGCAAAATGATGTAATAACTTCACTACCTTTCTGAATTTGTGATTGTGTCAGCTCTCTTTGAGAGAACTAATTTCTGGGAAGTACTTTCCAACAATGGAGTATTTTGTGTTTAAAACTGATAAGACCATGTGATATAAAACTATTTGCTTTAATTGCCTTTCTATTGTTTTTATAATTAAAACTGTATTTCTGCTTCATTTTTATATCAGTGAAGCAACATTTCCATGTTCCATTTCCTCTTCCAATAGAAAGGCACAGGTTACTTGGTCATGCACTGGATTGATAGGTCTCTGTGTTCACTTACGTTACACCTAACTGAGGCAGAAGAACCAGAGAACCTGACTTGGCTTGCGCCAAAAGCCAGCAGTGGTTCATACTGCCTGCAGGACATTAAATGACCAGGCATTATCATTTGCAAGCAGTTGTTTCAAGTCCTGCAGAATGGTGGTTGTATTTTCTGGTCAATGACTAAATTCTACATAGCCATCCTTTTTCTTTGTATTTTTAACAAAGGGTTTGTGTAACACACCAGCTTGTTTCTTTTCCTTTTAGTAACGATGCGTCAGTTTGATCATCCTCACATTGTGAAGCTCATTGGTGTTATTACAGAAAACCCAGTTTGGATAATCATGGAGCTCTGTACCCTTGGAGAGGTATGAAAATTCCTCATGCAACTGTGGTCTTCTCTCTTCATGCTCACAGACACCTTTACAAAAGACTGAAAAACTCACTTCTCAATAAATGCAAAGGCACTGTCCCCAGCTGTGCTATCATACTTGTTTGCAGAATTATGGACTCAGAAACAGGAGTGGCAGAATTTGATCTAACTCCTCCACTGAGGGAGCTGCATCAGCTCATACCAAAGTGATTTAGTCATTGTTTTCAGAGAAGGCAATTGCTGCTCCAGAGCGAGAGCACGACCTGTGTCAAGATGATAATAATGCGATATCATTTAAACAGCATTTACAAAGATACCTTCTGGAAGTGAAATTCTGTGGTACATCTTCTATTCTTCCTGGGTAATACTGCTTTTCCCCTTAGAACACTGAATTTCTTCTGGGTTTTGTTCTGTACAGTCTATGCAGCACAGATCCTAGATAAGATGACTTTCCTCATTATTATGCCTTTTTGATGAATGGTTTAAACAGAACTAGATCTCAGGTTTTATAATCAATTTGTTTTCTTCGAGCCACATGTCTCTGAAAATGTGAGCTGAAGCGATATTTCATACTGCATTGTAAGACAGTCATTGTAATTATCAAACTGCAATATGCTGTTCGAGAAAAATGGGCAGAAAAACCTGTCGTGGAGAAGTCATTTTCTGTCAAAAAATTACTGATTTCCTTTCCAGTGCCCAAATCACTTTTCAAAGCGTTGTCTTAATTTATAAGAAGACTAGTGCCACCCTTCATTAAGTCTTAACTACCTTATACTGGGAATATAGCTTATAAAAACCCTGCGTTGGTATTGGCTACTAATGAGCTATGAGCTAAATCCAGTTGTTTTAGCAAATGTAGATTAAAATTAATCCTTCCAAAACAATACTGATTTAATTGGTGTTCGGATTGGCCACATACTGTTTTGTTCTGAAATAATTTAGGCCAAAAACGTACTCAGTTCTCAAGGGAAGAATGCAGAAAAAGTCCAGGAGTGCTTTACTCTGGAACTGCAGCATGTGCTCTGTCTTCAAAAGAAGCCTGAAAGCAATGCACAATTTTTTATTTTTTTTTTAATTCATTTGGCTAACGGTTTTCATGTAGAAAAAAACTGCTTTAATTAAACCCAGAGTGAAATTTCTTCATGGCAAGTGATTTTCTTTTCTCATCCAGACTTAAGGGAAGGCATGCCCGTTGATACTTATGTAAACTTTGCAATTTGAGATATGCCTCGTTCAAATTTGTTGTTTTTTTATCCTAACTTCTTCCCATTTTTTCCTGCTTTGTGCAAAAAGTTGAGGTCGTTTTTGCAAGTAAGAAAATACAGCTTGGATCTGGCCTCTCTGATACTCTACGCTTACCAGCTTAGCACAGCGCTTGCCTACTTAGAGAGCAAAAGATTTGTACATAGGTAAGATTTTATTCATAAATATGTGTATGTGTGTATTTTTATATGTAACTGCTTGAAATTTTAGGGAATTCAGGTGTACTAGATTACTGGATTTGTGACTGGCAGCGTTCTGGCTATTAGACACGCTTGTTCAAGTGAAGATAAGCACTTACCACACGTAGATAGATTCTTTGAAGCCTTCCTTTTGTGTTTCTTTTCCTTGAGTTGTGATGAATGTGTAGTAACAATACTTTGAAACTCCTGAAACCCACATACCTGTTTCGTGTCAGTCCCCGTATTAGTATGTCATTTTTCCAGACGCTGCCGCCCAACTGACACCCTTTTCAAGAGTGACACCTGCTGGCCCGCTCCTGGAGTGACTCGGAGATGCTGCCGGGTTTCAATCAGAACAGATTCCGGCCGAGTTTGTTGCTTTGTGGTTACAATAGTTTTTAAAGCCGCCAGTCACCTGTCATCTTCCAAACACAGAAAAGCAAAATAAGGGGCAGCCAGCTTCTTCAGTAAAGAACAGGGAAAACAATATATTTACAAAATACAAGTTCTTGCTTAACCAGAAAGTAAACCTAAATATCCTTCTAGGTGTGTTTTGAATTTTATTCCCTTGAATTTGAACATGAGCTTTCTAGGGAGAACAGACTGGCTTTAGCCTCTTACTGTATACAATTAAAAGTTCGCAGCACTCCAGTTATGTACCTTTTCATTTTGAACTTGAGCATTTTATTTGTGTTTAAAGACTTATGTTCAGATTCTGCATATTGTGTATATTGTAGATACAAGCACAATATATGTAAGTATTATGGGTGTATATATATATATGCACATAGATATGTATGTAAAAACATTGATAGCTATGTATATAAAAACACTATAAATAACAGACCCTTACAATTGCTACAGATACTTGAATTTTGGCCAAGTAGCTGTTTATTTTAACTCTAGCAATAAAATTTTGAAATACAACTTATTCATACCATACGGAAATGGGAGAAAGTAGCACCCCTCAGTTTTCTGGTTGTACTTCACTGCTCAGAGCTAAATCTGTCAGTACTTAGTCAAAGCCTGCTGAAATCCGGAACCAACAGACACATAAGGTGGGTTGTGTCACCTGGGAAACTGCAAGAGGAAGAATGCCCAAGTCTTTTTGTAATCCCTATGGCATCATTAAAAACTGAGCTCCTTATTAGGAAGTCTCCTACAGAACAGATCTTAAACCAGTTCCTTACCTTTGCAGGGTCAGAAGACAGATTTTCTTTTTTCCATCGGTTCTAATTGCGAAAAAATTGTTAGCCTGTGATATTTAAATAGATGAAGATAAAACTTTTACCTCTGATGTTGACATTGATGTTTATACTTTTGGACTGTGACAGGTATTACTTATAAGGATCAAATATACTGCAGCATTTCTACAAGCTTCTCAGACTCAGAAGGCAAATATGTAGTTGTCTTTTTCTGTACATGCACACCCAAACCATGACACTTCTGGGGTTTAATATTTTTTTTCAAGTGATATTTCACCACTTTAAGTTTTTTAATGACTAGAAATAATGTCTCCTCTGTTTGGCAGGGATATTGCTGCTAGAAATGTGCTGGTGTCTGCCACTGACTGTGTGAAATTAGGTGACTTTGGTTTATCTCGATACATGGAAGACAGTACTTACTATAAAGGTAAGTTGACACTGTGGATCTTTCTTGCAGGCCAGTTAGAACACAATTGCTCCTCACAATACCGATTTTGTTGTCAAAAGGAATTAACCAGCAATTCTTGGTCTAGCTGTTGTATTCGTATAAAAAGACAACCTATTCAACAGTTTAATAGATGGCAGTGGATTTCTACATGCATGCTTAAGGAGAAGAATCACAAGGTATGATTTAAGTTGCAAAAAGTAGGAGATTCATGTGTAGGTAGAATTTTGCTTTTTAGGACAAGTTTATAGTGTTTTTTTCACAATATTTAGAAGATTATCCACAGTTGAGGCCTGTTTGAAATAGTATTCCTATTCATGGCATAACATAGGTAGCCTACAATGAATTCAAGGTTACCTACAGGTAAATTTTGAGGTTTTGCTGTCATTGTATGCTGCATACTTCAGATGTCTTGGACTAGGGAGATCCAGTACAAAATAGTCTTTAAAGCCTACTTTTTCCCCCATTTTGGATAGAATACTGATCTTAAGTGACTCTAGCAGCTGTGGGATGTCCTGCAGTGCATTTTAAATTATGAAATCATGCATTCATAAATCTAATCTTCAATATACTAGTTTCAGTCAGATGTTTTAAAATACCCTTTATCTGTCCCCTTATACTCCATTATGTTTCCTCATTTCATCTTGTATCACTGAGCTGCGTATCTTTGTAATTGCTGAGAGGAGAGGGGGAATGCTTTTGACATGATCATTTCTTGTTATGCTTTTGGGGTTTGTTGTTGAGGGCTTTATTGTGAGGTTTGGGGCATTATTTTGGTTTTTATTCATTCTTTTTTCTGTTTTATGTAAGACCAGACAACCTTCCCTTATCTTTATAAATCATTTTAAAAACACCTACTCCCTCGTTGAGGTTTTGTGATGGTTTCAGATTTGGTGCCAGTACCTTGTTGACTGCAATAATTGCATCTTGAAATAAGAATTAACTTGAAACTAGAAGGAGCTCAAACAGTCTGAATATTTAGGCAAAGAGGACTACTAAGCAGAGCTGGTCAGACCATACAGGAACCTCTTGTACAGAATTTGATGGTTAAAGTGCTTCACCAAAGATGTGGTTTTCCTATAAGTTATTTCTGAGAGCAAATTCTATGATTGAGCTCAGTAGTAGGACTAAAAACCTGCCTTGTCTTGCCTTCCCTGTAGCTTCCAAAGGAAAATTACCTATCAAATGGATGGCTCCAGAGTCAATCAACTTCCGACGGTTTACCTCAGCTAGCGATGTGTGGATGTTTGGTAAGTGAATACCAAATGGTGGGGGTTCTTCAGTGTCCTGTTTCGTTTTAACTACTGTAAATGAATACTTTCCAGATATTTGGCACTATTTTTACTGTACTTTCTGAAAATGTGGTTTCTTCCAGCACATTTTCCATCTCTGTATTTTCTTTCCTTTTTCTACTCAGTAAACCTAAAGTTTCATGTGCCCTTTTGCCCCTAGTCAGAAGCTGGCATAAATGAAGGTACAAGGAAATTAGGCCATAGTCGTAACAGAGATTATTTTTTTACTGTTTTTCCCTCTGGTTTCTTTGTGTTACACCATTGTTATTTGCTGTTTCTAGTTTATCTTTTCACTTTTTATTTTGGTGATATGCCCGCTTCCTTGCTTAGTGCATAGATCAGGCTACGTGATGTCCTGTTTCCAGATCTTTAATGCTAGATTCCCACTTAATTTGTCTTTCATAGCTCCTGCTAGCTTACAAAATATGACCAGAAGCTGAGTGAAAATAAGGGTAAATGGGAATATCCAGAAGCCTTTGATCTTTTTTCCTAAATATGCAAGTTTTTATGTGACTCTGGTTACCTGTGCTCAAACTGGTCCAGACTGCTGGTCTGGACAGACAGAACAAAGATAGGCTGTGTAAAGGAACAGAGGTGATGAGACTTGAAATAAGAGCAGGACAGGCAAGTAGTAGTTCATCCTCTTTGCAAAATATTGAATGTTTTTGAGTGAAGGATATGTGAATTTTAGCAGGTTTATAATAGTTTGAAGAAAACTTTAGTGCAGTCAGAGTTAGAAAAATGAAGTCTGTTGAACCTTTTGGGCTATTCTGAACTGACAGACCATTTTTCCCTTTGTGCTTTTAACATAGTTTCAACAGAAACTGTTTTATTACATGGCTTCAGCACAAAAAAATTGGATCAATGCCAGTGTTAAAACACCCTCAAAATGAAAACATGCTCTACATGTTGAAACAAGCCAGTTGGAACTAGTCAAAGGAAAAAGCAAACACAGCTCATTCTACCTCATAAAAAAAGTAGATTTGAATATGAGCAACCATTCTGATTTACACTAGGTAAAAGGTAGTTAAATGAAGCCAGGCTGCTGTGAGCCAGCTGTGGGTCATGCTTCCTCATAAATAGTTCAGGCTGATACTGCGTGTGTAATCCTGCTGCACGTCACTCTCTCTGCTGCCAGCCGGTAAGTCAGAACTGGTTCCCTAGCTGTGTGTTTTAAGAGAAGTTGTGTTGTTTGGCTGTACAAAATTGGGGGTTGTTTCTTTTTTAACACGTTTTGTTGTTTGCTCCCACTGGGGAAAATTTTTTTGTCTGTGTTTCTCAGGTGTGTGTATGTGGGAGATCCTAATGCATGGGGTAAAGCCCTTCCAGGGAGTGAAGAACAATGATGTGATTGGGCGAATTGAGAACGGTGAGCGGCTCCCAATGCCTCCAAACTGCCCTCCTACCCTCTACAGCCTTATGACCAAGTGCTGGGCATACGACCCTAGTAGACGACCCAGGTTTACTGAACTTAAAGCACAACTCAGGTAGGGTTATACTTCTGAAAGGTCATTTCCTTGTTCAGAAATATTTATTTTCACTGTGTCTTCTGTTAACAGTATTTTCTTTCTGTGGAAAATGCAAGACGTAGTGTATTAAGTTTTATCTTCAGAAGGCCAGGTTGTTGCTACTCTTTTGGAAATCTGGACCTTTATCTGTTGGAGAAAATTAGACTAGGCAGTAAATTCAAATAACTGGAAATATGAATCACCTTCCTTCTCTCCCAAGAAAAACTCCAGATTTTACTAGCAATTTATGTATGATTTCAGCTGTGTATGGTACAATCCTTGGGAAGGGAGTAGAAAGAATTAGAGTGATTACTTAGTCAAACATGCAGTGGACAGTTTGGGGGTATAAAGGTATCCTTTCTTGTGTAAATGAAGCATCGGGTCAGTGCTGTTGAAAGCTGTTTTCATAATGTGTAGCACAGTAGTTGCCCTGTGGCAGCTGTGTCAGTGCAGTTGCGGAGCCTGCAATAATTGCAGCATCATTAACCAGAAATTCTTTTGCCCTTTGTAAACCAGGATATAGACTACCTTATGTTTATCTTGGAACAAATGTGAGCACACACTTTTGAGATCAGTCTAAATTCACACCCTAGTTTGTTCTGCAAAGATTTATTCCAGTGGCCATATCTCTGTTTCACCAGCCACAAAATGGGAGCGGTATTTAAACTTTGAAACATCACTGGGATATTGTGCAGACACTTGTGACATTTGTGACCACCTTTGGGATTTTATGAGGGCTCAGTATCTATTTTGCCTAATGCAATATAAGCTTCAAACAATATATAGGTATTGTACGCTGTAAATCCACTCTTGTATTTATTGTAATTCATTGCTGAGTTATTCAGTTTTATCTTCTATCTTGTTTGAAAGTTGTGCTTTGTGGCATGGTTTATTTTCGGAATATCATTTTGTGCTGTCACTGGATGTTCATGGTACAAGACAATTTGTAGGTGGTTAAAATAAGGGACGATTTAATTATGATGCTGTTTCAGAGTTGCTTGTATGGATAACTTGGGTACCTTTAAATTTTTTCCTATATCTCCAACCTATTTCATACAGTTCCACCATCTGTTACTCTGGGAGCTCCTGTGTAGACTCCTAAATTACATAGCTAGAGGAAGACGTAGCCCTTCTCACAAGTAACTTATCATCCTATTGACGCTGTGGAGTTAACCACAAAGGAAGGAATGGTAGGGCTGGGTAGGGATTGCAAGGAAAAGATATGACACAGTTGTGTGACTTGGGTAATAGGCGGAAATTGGCAATTCACTTGCCTTTTTTTTTTTTGGCTCTGGCAGAATAGCATTCTTCTTAATTTGCAGTCAGATTGTACTGGTAACTTGGAGCTGACTGGCACGGAGCAGAGTGAAGCCCTAAAAATGTGACTAGGAAGATGGCTATAGTCTGTAAACCCAGGCAGGGAGAGCATCTCACCAGAAAGGAAGAGGATGAGTAAATCCAGAGTAAAAGTAATTGTGTTGAGGGTAGAATAAATGTAGACTGTACTCAGAGAGAGCGCAAAGGCAGCAACACCTATAACAGCGTAAGGCAGGAAGGAGAAATGGGGGAAAAAAAGTGAAGAATGGTGGGAAGGTATCACCAGATTCAGACCAGTGCACAAGAGCCTGGCTCTCCTTGGAAATGCACCGCCAAGGGACAAGCACCAGCACTCCTGACATGCAGCAAGGCAAGTTCTTGTTGGTTGGAAATCAAAATGTTCCCCAGTGTGCGTGGGTAAGCTCTGACACAGGTCACCCAGAAAGACTCTGGATTTCCGTGCTGGAGACTTTCAAACCTTGGCTGGAAAAGGCTCTGAGCAACCTGACCTCACCATGCATGGAGCCCAGCTTTACCAGGAGATTGGACTCAAGACCCCCAGGAGTCCCAACCTAAACAATTCCCTGGTTCTAGATGAAAAATGCACCAAGGGGGGTGGTTTTTTGCTCCTCTAGACATGCTAGGAGATTTGAAGCATTGTTTAGAGGATGTCCTCTCTCCTGGGGCCACAGCAGCCCTAAAATCCAGTTTTTTACTCTCTTCTCACCAAAGTAGAGAGTTTTCTGCCACTCCAAACTGGTGACCTTTATCTCTTGGAAGTTAGGCAGCACGGTTGTCCTTAGGGCTTCTTTGCTCTGCTCACAGAGTCGGCCTCTTGTTGGAAAGTTTCCCAATTCCCTTACAATGAGGCAATCTCAGGCAGCTAGGAAAGATTGTGTTTCACAACTCAAATTCCCATGAACTTGCAAAAACAAGCCATTTCCCTGGTGGCCTTTTCTGTGTGGTGTTGCTGCTGCTCGTCCTGGATCCTGTCCAAGGTAGTCTTTTCAAGCTGACTGGTTGTTTGCTTGAAGCCAGTGCTACAGCACCACAACATTCCTCTGTGTTGTAGTGAGAAAAAGTCCATGGCTTTGGGAAAGAACTTCTTTTTTGCATCTGAAATAGCACTAATGGGAGCATCAGCATTTCATGTGTTCTCTGTCTGTTATTTGATGCTTTTCTTATTTCATAGTAACATCTGTTTTGCACAAACTTTATTTGAAGCTGCTTGTGCAGTGCAAAGATGCTGATTTCTGTAGAATTTATTATTAGGGTAATAATGAGGCCTGATCTTTTATAGCATTTGATCTGTCCAAAGTGGATAGGGATGAATTAGTCTTCACAGCAAACACAGAAACAAACGAGTGGATTGTGGATTTCCAAATTTAATTCATCCTCACATCCTAGGTCCCTTTTTCAGTTGGAGGTAGGGTGTGTGTAAAAGATGAAGTCAGGAAAGTGAGGTGCTACCCCGATGCTCCTGCGATTCTGTCACTGACTGGGCCAGAATTAGAATCCAGGTTATTTTAAGCAGGAAGCATGTATTGCCTTGCTGATTTTGTGTAGATGAGATTTTTGGTCTTGCACTACATGGTAAAGAATGTAAAATGTCCTTTGTGAAGTGTTGAATGTACCCAAATCATGCCATATCACTTTTGCAGCATTTCTCTTCAAAATGACTCCTAGCCACTTACAGTAACTGTACACTTACTGTGCTATAATTGTACACTCACTATAACCATATCTATCTCATACATGCGTGTATTATTAAATTTAATTTATTCTTTGCGATGTTCAATGTGCTGCAGGTGTGTATTGCTGAGGTACCACCAGTTTACTCACACGCTTTCTTACAAGTCAGCTCCCAGGCTTGTGCTTGCGAGTTGTGGTGCCCTGAGTGTCCCTTTGGTTGGCAATTCTGTTAAAACTGGGGGGGGGGGGGTGTGCGTTGGAGGTTCAGCTGGATTTTAATTTTGAGCTTTCAAATTAATGCAGTTGCATGACATGTTCACTGCATCATGGAAGGAATTTTGTGTGAAGTACCTATCACTAACCCTTTCTCCTAAAAATGGCAAAATAAGCAGCAGTTGTATGTCGCTGTGTCAGTGTCCCCATGGCCCTCTGTTGGTCACTGAAGGAGCAGCACAGGTTTTAACAGAGCAGAGACTCCTCTAGCATCATCCTAGCGCTGCAGGTCACGTTCAATACGGCTCAGGAAAAAAAAAGGGGGGAAAAAGACGATTCATGCTTTTAAAGTCTGTTTTTATGACAACAGTGACATAATTAACTGTTGAGAACTGGACTTGAGCCTTATTGTGACTGCATTTGATGTAGGTCCTGAAATGCTGCTTACAAATAAAAGAAACAAAACTGGTAGGAGTGAGGGCAGTTTGAGTCCTCTCCTTTTGTGGCATCTTGCCAAAAAAATATTTTCACACACACTCGAAATACATGATGGAGGCTGTAAAATGCTTCATTACCCTTTTGCACTTTGACAGTGACTGTTAAGAATAATCTATAATCCATTAAGAATCTGCTTTAAATTAGGGCAGTATGCAAAACTATGTTCCTCTGCATCCAGCTTTGCATTTCTGATGGCTGGAGACCAGAGAGGGGAAAAAAAGAAGCTGCTTGTACAGGGTCAGCACTTGCTGTAGGTTCCTGCACCACTGTAGCAGCAAACACAGCTATTGCTGTGCCTTTTGATTGACATGTAGGGATGAGTTTCAGTATTTCAGATATTCCTACACTGAAGCTCCCAGTCAATGTTTCCTTTTCAATGTCACAGGCCAATTTCAGTAAAAAGATTCTTTGCAAAAGAACTAAGTTTAGCAATTATGCGAACATTTCATAGTCGAGGTTTTTCATCAGACTTAACCTCGCCAAGAAGATGAGTTAAGTCTGTGCTACCTCAAGATTTGCTAGGGAAATCGTATGAATAGAAATGCTTCTCTGCTTGTTCCGCTTGGCTGCTAAAAATATGTGCAGTTTGGGAAAATATGCCTAGATCTGACTTTCCTGACCTTCTGCAAATTACAATAAACTGTTCAGAGCACTTAAGCAGCTGCACTGAGAAAAGGTCAAAAATATCTCTTGGCACGCTCTTACCCTGTCTATGGATTGGTCTTCCCGTTGTAAAAACAAAGACGTTTCTGTGAGTCATTTATATGCTTTGTTTTTTCGAGTAATGCTTCTCTTGAGGCATTTCTATTTTATATTCTTGTCAGCAGTACTCAAGGGCATCCAAGTACAAATTCTGCTGAGGCTGATCAGCCTTTGACCAGGCTACTTGCTGGGTTGCTGGGGAAGGGACCTTCTGGTGACACAGGCAACGGAAGAGCAGGGTGGGAGGAATTAGAGTTGTAAGGCAAAAAGCTGAGCCTGTGTTGTGAAAAACAAGTCATTTCAGTAGAAATTTGTTGTTTCCAGTGATATGATTGAGGTTAACAGTACTGTATTGAATACAGTGGCACCACAGATAAAATGGCTTTGGTAGCCAGGCAAAGGGGTATTGGTGTTTCATTCCGTTTTATAGAAAAACAGGACTGTGCTGTGACAAACACTCATGGCCGCAAATTGTCCATAAGCCGTCTCTGAATTTAGTCAGCTGCTTTTAGCTGGCTCCTGTTCCGTGCTTTTGCTCAGATTAGGGCAACTGCTGCATCAATTCATGCAGTTTCTTGGGTGGATTTTTTGGTGGTGTTTTGTGGTGTGTTCTTTTAAATCTTGATGTATTTTTTGAAAGATCATAATCGTGGTTCATGGTTGTGGATGCGTGTTGGCTGATTTCTCGTGCTACACAAAGATGCACGCTGATTATCCAAAGTGTGACCTAAGCTTTAAAGCACTGGGGTTTTGCTAGTTCTTCATGGGTTCAAGTACGAAATCCTGGATTTTCCTTATTCTGAAGGAAGAGAGAGATAAAATAGAAAAGTTTTCTCTTTTTAGTTCCCTCCGTTGGGCTGTAGCTGTGTTTCCGTGGTAGTTATATCAAGATGACTTTTGCAAATGACTGTCTGATGTTGGTTTTGTTCCACATTCTTGTGTTACTTCAGCAATGATGGATTGAAATTGCAGCAATACTTACAAACTTGGTTTAGCTGCAGTGAGACGAGATGACTTCTCTGCTTTTTAGCAGTGGCATAGATGCTTTTTTTTTTTTTTTTGGCTGAGTAAGGAAAAGCGAAGTTCTTGTCTCCAACCAAGCAGGAATTTATTCTTGAAATAAGCAGTGAAGTTCCAAGATCAGAATAGATTGCTGTGGTTGATCTCATCCATTGCATGAGTAATTCTGGGTGGTTATTTAGCCGACTGAACAGGAGATTCTAAACTGAGAACCTAGCTTTGTTTTTGGAAACTCTTTGAGTAATAAAGAAGCTGGGATAGCTCCTTTACAGGATTATTTTTACACTGGGGATAGCAATATGTAAATAATCTGCCCTGCTCACATCTCCAGACTATCCGTGTAGCGTGCAGCTCCAATGAATTTGCAGCTCCCTATTTCAAAGCTTCTTTCTGAATATTTTTCAAATGGCAAATATCCAACGTTAATAATCCACATAGCAGGACTGGGAGGAGGCTGCTGTGGGGGCAGCAGTATCACGTTGAACTTCAAACAGTCATTTTAATAGTCAGAACAGTGGTAAGTAGCGAACTAGTTTTACTACTGTCTTGTACTTTGCTGAAAATGTAGCCTTTTGACCTGAATGTTTAGAAGCTGAGTGAATACTGTCAGATATTTCTGCTTTGCTAAATTAGTTTGCTGAATGTGTTTCTGGTTAGGCTAAAATGTAAGAGCTGAAGACATAGTATTGAAAATGGTTTTTGACTGCTTCATTTTAAAAAAGAAAAAAAAATCCCAGTGATCTGAAGCTTTGCTGAGTTTCAGTAAAGATTTTCAGTTTGTTTTTAACCTTTGCTGCAGTTCAGTAGAATATTTTCTTGTGAAAAATTAAGTTTTCATGCAAGTAAGTGCTCTATTTATTGTTGTTGAGGATTTCTCTGTGTAATTACAAATCAAAAGAGCTGTTAACATGCCAAAAGAGTTTTGTGCAAGATCAACCACAGCTTTCTAAAAACTCGGCGCTCTTCTGTTGTTAGAAACACACTGGTAATTCTACAGAAGTATTTCATCCTGATACTGGTTTTCAGAAACCTAACCAATATAAGTAAAAGAAGCTTGTGTTTCGGTGTTCAATCACTTTGTCAAATGGTGTTGATTAGTCTGAAAAATGTGAGAGCTCTGGGGAGAGGTTTGTTAGACATTGGACTGGAGTTTTACTTAAACATAATACGTTTTTCTTAGTACAATACTGGAGGAAGAGAAGCTGCAGCAAGAAGAACGAATGAGAATGGAATCCAGGCGACAAGTCACAGTATCCTGGGACTCAGGAGGATCAGATGAAGCTCCTCCCAAGGTAGTTAAGACTGCAAATTATGTGTGTTTAAATAACAAACCAAAAAAACCCCATTTTTATTCCATTTATTTCTTCAAAGCCTTCTTAGACGGGTTCATTCCAACAGCGGCGTTCTGGCCAATTTTGTCATCGTCTGCTGATACTTGCCTGATCGTCTGCTGATACTTGCCTGCAATGACCCAGCTGTATATGGACTGTTGTTAGAACCGATCCGTGCTATAATATCGCACTAATGATTTTCTGTTTCTTGTTGGTTAACTTGTAAAAGACTGCCATAGTTGCCACAAAATTGTTTCCTGGCCTTTTCTTTTTTCTTCTTTCTTGTAACACTTTTGTGAAACATTAGCTAGTGGGTTCTTAGACCAGTGTGAAGTGTGAAACACATCAGTGAGAGGATAGAAGTCACCTAATTCCATTTTCCTTATTCTGGACAGAAAATTAGGGGTTTGCTTCCAAGGACCTTACGCGTTTTAGTTTACACTTAATTTTGTTTCTTTACTTGTGTGTCGTGTTTGGATGTCGCTGATGTGTTCTGCAGCTGTGGTAGTCCAACCTCACCGCTTGCTGAGCACTCTCTTCTCTCAGTAACCTGTTCGCTTCTCATCGGAGTTATTTTGCAGTGTGAAGGATCGAGGCTGTATTTTGAAGAATTTCATTTTGCACAGTCACCACTGTAATGTGGAATATTGTCTGTGTCCTGACCAGTTTGGGGTGAATTCCCGTAGCTGTACACGCAAGCTCTGGTGCTGATAACGATTTCAGTAGTACTGGTGCGGCACCTTCTGCTGCACGCATCCCCCAACGGTCATAGGAAGACGACTTATTTTTGTTTTGTTTTCTTTCCCCAGCCCCAGCCTGTTGCCTGATAGATTTCTGGGCTTGGTTGTGTGTTTTAATAGCTTTATGGCAACCGAGAAGTACGAGCAGTGGAATTGTTGCTTTCATTTCAGAGTTCAACACAGCAAACAATCCATCAACCTGCTTAGTCATTTGAGATTAACTAGCAGGATCTGGTGTGTATATAGACAGACAATGTTTGGAGTTGTAGAAACAGATAAACTGCATACGTTGGAACAGTATGCTACGTAATTATTACAACCTTGTTTGAAGTATTTGTTTAGGCTTGAAGCTTTGGGGCTAATCCAAATAAAATAAGTACCTTTCACTAATGTAACACATAAATTATGCTGTATTAGAAATTATCATCGTTAGAGCTTTGAGTGTGATGTATAAACTGAAACACTTGACAAAGAAGTGTTCAGGTTGAAATGAATTCTACCACTGCATATCTTTTTTGAGGGGGTCATATGTCCTCGCTGTATATGCAATGCAGTTGTTGGTCAGGTTTTTTATACAGTATTTTTGTGTAAAATATGGATGTGCATGCTGATGACATTGGAACAAGTTGAATTTCATAGATATGAGGTTTAAAGTATCTCAAGTTATTATCTAATTTTCTAATGGTGACAAGTGATGTTTTTCTTCCAAAAATTCGTTATAGAGGTTTCAGGTCTTTATAGGTTTTAAATTCCATTTGATTTATAGCCTTAAACTCCTACACGTTCTCAAGTACATCACGGATATCACAGTTTGTACTATGAAATTACTTCTGTCTCACAGTGATTTCTGTTAGAAACCGAAGACAGAAAATACCTTAGTACAGAATGATGGTGACATTTTTCATAAAATGACAATAAATTCTGCAATTTCAAAGTAATGTGGTGGTTGCCTTTAACTGCCAGAAGGACTGAAGGAGCCCATTTGCAAGGTCTGGGGATTTTCCCCTCTTTGATTGCTTTTTCTTGTCCTGAAACACCCACCAGCACTGTTCCTCATACAAAAAAAAAAAACAAACCTTTGGAGGTTAGTATCAAACAAAATAACAGAACACTTCTGCTGGCAAGGTAAAAGTATGTTGTTCTGAGCAAACATTTCCAACATAAATTCTTTCAGTAGTGTGACATTTCTGTACCTGTTCTGGCAAAAGCGTTCAGTGTTTGCTGCAGCAAACGAGGCTTCTTTTCATGTAGTCTTTTATTAATAGTGCTGTCCGAATTTCTGTTGACTTTTCTCATGTTTTCCTGTGGTTATACGTCTTGTTTGTTTACATGTAAAGTATTGCCCTTCTCCTGAAGGAGTAAAGCAAGATGGTCAGATAAAGACCCTTGATAGCTGCTCTTCAGCTGTCCTTTCTAATAGGAGCTAGTTCTGTCTCAGTTTTTCTTGCCAAACAAAGCATGGATGATGAAGAGACCGTGGAGTTCATAATATGATCAAAAGCACCTTCCATGTTGAGGCAATTAGTTACACAGAAGTTAATTATCAGAACTAATTTTAGTCCTCGGAATAACACACGGAAATATTTACGCTAAACGAACCAGTTTGAGTTGTGTTCTGACTGAGGCAAAAGAGTTTACTTTTGGGAATGGTCACAAAAGCAACAAATTAATAGCAAAACTTGATGTACTGCAGGTCATGAACTTAGAAACAATGCTGCATTTGCACCTGGAAACTTGAGTTAAAAAGTATGTTCTTAACTGATGTCCTCTGTAGGGTTAAACAGCACACAGCAGGTCATTCAGCACAAGCAATTAAATGCTCACAAAGCATTCATAGAGCAGGCATTATTTATTGACATACCTGGCAAACAATTCAGCTGCTTCCATTGCCAAGCAAAAATGGGGGAAAACGTCATTTTAGTTGTTTAAAAAACCGTTAGTCATTTTAGAAAATTCATTGGGAGGGGGGTTTGAGTTTGCTTTTGCAATGTACCACCTATGTAAATGTTTGTCTCACCAAAGAGTAATTTTCTGGTTTAAGTTTTCTGTTTATAAAAGAGTCTAAAAATTCCTTTACATTTCCAGCCCAGTAGGCCTGGCTACCCCAGTCCGAGATCCAGTGAAGGGTTCTATCCAAGTCCACAGCATATGGTACAGCCAAATCATTACCAGGTATTACATTTAACACTGTGCATGTGTTTCTTCAAATGTGGGATTTATTAACTCAGTTGCAGCTGGTGGGATTGATTCACTTTTTACACTTTTTTTTTTCTTTTAGTTCAGTTCTGTTAAATTATTTTTGTTTCACATCAGAACAAACCCTGAACTGAGCCTGGCAGGTTTACTCCAGATGGCAAATGTTTTTTGTGTCTGATATGGTGCTCAGATTCCTAAAATCACAGTAAAACACATCAGACATTTTCATATTTATTGAAGGAATGTGGTGGTCATGTTAACGTTTGTGCTAAGCTATGAAATTACTCACCTTATAAAATGGCATTAACTGATGGGCTTTCCTTGGGCTTATTGATACTCTGCGGCCTAATGTTTCTCAGAAACATTTTCTGTTGACTGATAGCTGCCTTAGATCTACCTCATCGTATCCTCAGAGGTTTTGGTTTTCTTCCTAATGCTGCTGAAGAAATTTAAGACAAAAGTTTGTTTTGAATGTACTTTACGCATTCTTGGGTTTGTTCAAAGCTACAGCCGTATACGGCAAGTCTCTGGTTGAGATTTTTGGGTTTTTTCTATGGAGAGAGGGGTGTTTTCATTGTTTTAATGAGTATTTCAGACTCATTAAAACTCCTTTGATTTTCCTGTGGTGAAGTTCTCAGGCCACACAGCTAAGCACACTAATTACACGCTGTCACTCAAGACTTAAGCTTGTAACATACACTAGGGGGTCCGTTTTTGTATGGCTCTGTAGTTTGCAGGCTCCTAGTAACTTGAATATGAGCTCTGCGCTGTAGCTCTTACAAGTGTATCAATAGCTTTATTTTTGTTCATCAGAGGACTTCGATCTTCTTGGCTGCACAGGTTAAAACATGCTTTCTAATGCTGCTGTTTTGATAAGCATCCTCATTGTTATAGTTATCCTCGAAAGTTATATTTATATATATTTATATACAATTATAGTTATCCTCAAATAGTTATGTTATGAGAGGCATCCTCAAAGACTTCAAAAAACCACTTTGTGTCATATTTTGGCTCGACCTCCTTCTGATGTTGCCTCCCCTCCTCCCTCTCAGTGACTGCTTGACTTATTTCTGCACTCTCAGTATTTGCTCCCTTGGGCGGGGGGAAGCTGTTAATTACAGGGAAGAATAGGTCTTCTATTAATGTAACTTTTTTTTCTTTCTTGTCCCCCTGCCCCCCAAGGTGTCTGGCTACCCTGGTTCTCATGGAATACCGGCCATGGCAGGCAGCATTTATCCTGGGCAGGCTTCTCTCTTGGATCAAGCAGATTCCTGGAACCATCGGCCTCAGGAAGTATCAGTGTGGCAACCAAACATGGAGGTATCGTGAACTGACACATCTATCGTGCTCTGTACAATAAATGAACTTTTTTATCAGTTAGGTACACCTGGAGATCATTGTAGGAAAACTTAAGTGTTTCCGTCATATTTTTTAAATGGCCTTACTGTAATGGGATGGGAGTCACGACTGAATTCTCTTTGAAACAAATCTTCCTGTGTGATGCTGAGCATAAAGTGTACTCTTTACACAAATTCTTGATGAAGTTATTACTACTTATTATCGTAACTGAGTGAGTGAGAGCAAATATTTGGGGTTTGTTAAAAGAAGACTTTACTGAAACTTACTGCTGTAACTAGAGATGGGAACGTGCGTGTAAAAATGTGTAATATCGTTGCTGTTTAAAAATATCTCTCACGGGAGATACCCAGCATAGCTAAAGTATCTGAGGCTTCTCTGTAACTTACCCAGAACAGAAAATTAAACGGTCTGCAAAACCGTTCCTGAGTTGTATTCCTGTTAGGTGCTTTTCAGCCTGTCATGATTGCACAGAGCTGCTGGAAGGAACATCAAATGAATTCCTTCTTTAACCTTCAATCATTTCTTTTCTGTTCTTCTCCAGTATTTTATACTTTTCTCATTCCATTTTATTCTCCCACAAAGACTCACTTTGTGCAGCTTCTGTCTTAAATCTGCTTCCTCTCTAACCAGTGCTCTATTCCCTGTGCCTCGGATAAACATTTAAGTGATTAGTGAGGCTTACCCCTTAAATACAGACAAGCAGACAGGTGTCAAAGTCTTAATTTTCTCTGCTTACTCTTGGTTGAGTTGGCCATATATTCTGCTATTGCAGCTTGCTGCCATGCTGCTGCTGTTCAGCTGTATGTAGTTGAGGGTTGTAGTCCCAAGTAGTTAAACATCCCTGTGGAATATTGGCTCTAGAAACAATTTAGTCTATGTTGTGCTTAAATAAAGTGTTGGTGGAAGCATATGAATGCTTTGCACATGTTTGTAATACTAAGTTACAGCCAAAGTTTTCACAAAAGCTTGGGAATCTGGTTACCTAAAAACAATCTCAGTGAAGTTTGTTACCAAACTCCCCTTTGATTTTTTTAAAATACCGATTTACACACTACTTGCTAATGATTTCCAGACAGCGTTGGGATATGGTATATGGAGTATTGTAAACTTAAGACATGCATAAAAACTTGTTCAAAAATCCATTAAAAATGTTTTTGTGACAGGCTTTGCAAGTGTCAGCTCAAACTGAAAAGCGTATTTGTTTTGAGTAAAAATGTACCTTGCAGCTTTTAACAACTGGCTAGTTAGATTATTGCTCAAGAGCAGGAAAACAAAACTGATAAAGCTGGTTTTGTTATCCAACTTAAATGAAGTGTGATATATGAAGTTACAATGTTGCTGAAAAACAACACAGGATTTTTCAAATCCTTTTGGTTCCAATGATTAAGAGCAAGGCAGATAAAATGTTTGTAGTCGTAGAGTTTCTTCTGATGGTCCACTTCAGCTTGTGAGGAGTTGAAGGAACTCTGCTTGACTGCTGTTGTGCATTTGGGCTTTTAAAAATCTCTTCTTCTATAATCTGTAAGTTCTTGTAGCTGTTTATACAAATTTTAAGTTGTTAGGAGACTGAATAAACTTACTGTGTTTTGTAGGATTCAGGCACATTGGACATAAGAGGAATGGGGCAAGTTCTACCCACGCATCTCATGGAGGAGAGATTGATACGACAACAACAAGAGATGGAAGAAGACCAGCGTTGGCTTGAAAAAGAGGAACGATTCCTGGTAATACTTGGTTTTATAGTGCTTCCTAATTTGTTCTGAATTTTCTTTTTTTTGTTGCAGCTTGCTAAAACTGGTCACTTCTGTGAAATGAGAATATTTACCGAACACAGGGTTCGCTACCAAAATGTCAGTATGGAAACAGTTTTTAAATGAAGTGTTCAGCTAGTGAGGCCTGTATTCCAAATACCTTGAACAGCTGCTGTTTTCAGTGAATCTCATTTTATACAGTTGAGTATTTCGGTGTGGGAAGTTGTGGGTATAATTCTGTGCCAATCTGGAGATTGCCTGTTTGTTCTTAAGGAGATTGATCTGTGCATACTCTACCCCTAAAAAAAGGGATAACCGTCAGCCATCTAAGAACCCTGACTATAGTGAGGGTTGCAAGCAGTCTTGCACTGGAGGAATAATGAGACATGTTAGTGGGAACAAATAATTGGAGAGAGAGCTCTGTGAGGTGGGGAAAAAGCTCTGAACATCAACAGGAGGAGGAAGAGGAAATGCATTGGTGGTGGGATCTTCTGTTGCTGTTTCACTGAGCAGTGGTTTGGTGTCCGAAGGGGTTTTGGTAGCGGGGAAGGGGGCTACAGAGACGGCTCCTGTGAAGAAGCTTCAAGAAGTTCCCCTGGCTCCAATTTCAGACCCGCCTCTGGCAAAGGCCAGACCAATGGCACCTCTGCAAATAACTCTATTTAAGAGTCAAAGAACCTGTTCTGATCTTTGTTCGTGGTTCTTTGTTGGTGAGCAGAAGAGAGGA